GGCCTACTTTTCCATGGTTAAGCTACGCGATGGTGAGAAAAAGATAGTGAGACCACAAGGAGAGAGCGATTGTTTCGTCTTCTTCACGCGACGGTGGTGAAGAGAGAGGGATCGTCTCAAGATATTTCTTTTTTTCGGGTGAAGGGTTCGTTTGTTTTTCAGATTTTGAATTTCTAATTGATAAAAACAAAATACTGTATGCTGCTGACGTGGCTCGATGAAAGAACATTTTGAGGTTTGAAACGTGGTTGAGTATTAAAAAATAACCGCGAACCGGAGAAAATGGTTTTTGAAAAAAACATTGAAGGAACCGAGCGATCGGGAACAAAGAGTGGTCAGTAAAAAATAGTGATTTGTCCTTATTGCCCTTTAACTCGTTAAATTATTTTGTCCGGTTAAACCTAACCAAACAGAATAATCGATAACCGGACAAATTTATGAAAGAAATGTATACAACATCGAATAAAAAAAATGAACAAACAGATTTAATATTAAGTTTCTTTACGTGTGAATAAAAGATAAATCTGAAAAAAAAACAACTGAAGAACAGGAGAAATAATCAAGAACAGCCAAAAAAAAGAAAGAGAAAAAGTAGTTTTGTATTAATACTTTCAAATGTTTACAACGCTTCAACACTATACTTTATAGACATGTAAAACGAGTATGTATATTCGAGCTTGATTTATCAAATCACACATCAACACCTGTCTGATTCTCTAACAAGGAAATCGTCCTTGCTCTTTTGGCTTCTTGCTTTGCTTTTTCTCTCAAAAATGCATCTTTTGTGTCTCTCTCCTCTTGTGATGTGTGAGTGTTGTTAGCAGATAACGTGGGCTTATCTATTGGGCCATCACATATAATCTCAGCGTCTATTTATCGTTTAAGATCCAAAACCTTGATTTCACTCTGTTCTGAAACAGAGTTGGTGGTTCGACTCAAAGATACACTTTCATTACGGTCACTCACATTTGTTGAAATTACAAACAAGTTATTTCCATCTTTATTCTAGTCCTACTAATTTCCAACAGTGGAACATTATGCGACACAAGATTGGATTCTACTAACAGAAAATACAGCTAACATGTTTAATAGATTCAGTACTGAATTTAATAATGGCTAAATGAGAGGAAACATTTCCCTCAAATAGATTATGTACATGACTATTAAAACCTGCAAAAGACAAAATATTATTATGTACGGTTTGAAATAAATTTAATCCAACAATATGGAGTTATTACGAGCACGGATATCCTATTTATTTATTTAAAAAAAAACTTTCAATATATGCTTGTGTTACACATTTATTGAATATGGTGGGTTCTAATTATAAAGTAAATTACGTATAGAGAGTGTGTTTACGAGTAGTTGTCATATCTCCACCGCACATCTGGCTCACACGTGCATGTTTTCCCTCCTCCTCCTCACGTGTCATGAGTCTCATGTGGTGTTTTTTTAAATCTTTTGGCTTTGTCCTGTGATATGCAAACGGTTGCACTTTTAAAAAGAAACAAACTATTCCTCTAAACGTTCACTATTTATATTGAAAAGGGTAAAAAAATTATGCAACTTATTTCACCG